TTATGTTCCTTTTATTCCCTATCCCCTTTACAAATATATATAACAATTTAATAATACACAGAAGACCCTCAATATATGCTAAATAAAGTGCTAAAAAGAATTGTAAACTTTTATAAATAATGATTTTTTTTTAAGATTTTATTTATTTTTTAGAGAGCGAGCGAGAGAGAAACAGCATGAGAGGGGAGAGGGTCAGAGGGAGAAGCAGGCTCCCCGCTGGGCCAGGAGCCCGATGCGGGACTCGATCCCAGGACTCCAGGATCATGACCTGAGCCGAAGGCAGTCGCTTAACCATCTGAGCCACCCAGGCGCCCCTATAAATAATGATTTTTAAAAATGGAAAACTCACTTCTTCCCTCCCCTTTCCTTTAAATATTCTTACTAAGTATATTAGTAATTGACAAATATCTGTCCTGTTTTCAAAAAATTTAATACTATTTGATCAATATTCCTAGTAAATTATTCTAAGGCTCATTGACATACATATATAGAAATTAATTTATCTTTTGGCATTCTGAATAAACAGACACAAGTCTTTTCATATTTAATGCATTACAAATTAATTAGTTTTTAATATTTTATTTATTTATTTGACAGAGAGAGAGATAGCGAGAACAGGAACACAAGCAGGGGGAGTGGGAGAGGGAGAAGCAGGCTTCCCGCCGAGTAGGGAGCCCGATGCGGGGCTCGATCCCAGGGCCCCGGGATCATGACCTGAGCCAAAGGCAGACGCTTAACGACTGAGCCACCCAGGCGCCCCAATAAATTAATTAGTTTTTACTTATGTTATTTTCTTTAATCATCACAAACTACCCTGTGAGGTGTTAGTATTAACTGATTTTTGTAGTATGGAAATCTGAAGTCCTGACGCAAGTTGATATATGAAAGCGTCACAATACAAACTAGATCTTCCTATGTCAAGTTTATTGCTCCTTCTCCATCCAAATGAATACACATTCTGTTCTGGTTTTACTTTAAAAGCCCTCACTACGGACCTGGTACTCCACTGGTTCAGAGCATTGTAGATGATTATGATACTTTCCTATTCTTAAGGAGCATATATATAGTCTAGGTTGGGAAACAGGCATATAAGCAGATAATTTGATGATAAAATGGGAAATTATAAGGCTAAGAAACACAGAGGAAATGTACCTGGGGGTTCAGAGAAAGCTTCCTGGAAGAGATAAATTCTTGGTTAAGATGAGAAGTGAGGCAAAGACATTGAGGAAGAACATTACGGGCATATAGATGAATATGCATGAAGAAGATATTGGAAAAGCACGAAGTTTCATGGGTTGGAAAAGCATGAAGTTTGTGTATTATTCAAACACATGGCATGACACCTTAGCTAAAGTGGAAATGTTAGGAGATGGAAAAAGAAAGAAGTTTGGGACCAGGTGCAAAAAAAAAAACAGAAAAGAATAAAGATTTGAGAGTTATTCAAGAGATTAAAAACAATATGGCCCAGTGATGATTGAATTTAGGACTTTCAGTGTCTGGGTGAGGAGACTGAGCACCATATTTGGGTGGGAAATGGGAGGCAGAGGATGACTGAGTTTGAGGCACATTGAATCTGAGGTTCTATGGAACATTAAGATGCATCTGTGCATAAGAAAGGTAAAAAAATGAGTGTGTAGCTTAGAAACATCAGGCCTGGAGATATGGAATTATTAGTACTCTTTAAACACCCAGTCACATATGAAAAACTAAACACTATGGCTACAAAATACTTTACATGGTTAGGATTGTTAAAATCATTGCTACATTTGTTCACAAAGCAATGTTGAGAGAGAAAGTGACTAAAGCAAAGCACTAAATCACCAACACCTAAAAGTATTGTATAAAACATAATATGTCACAAAGTTTGACCCTGCTTTGAATTCTATCCCATGTTACAATAATTTTCATTTTTATGTTATTGTAGTAGTTTTCAATTTTACATGCTTTATTATTTTTTTTTTACTGCAAAGAAAATTTATTTTACATATTGCTAGCCATGAATTTTTGTCGTTAGTTCACACATAAATCTGCCTAGTGCCACTATCCAAATGGCAGGACCAGTTTATGTCCACACTGCACTCTGTATTTACAAAGAGAATTTGCACGACTTACATAAATGTAAACTCTCAGTGAAGGTTTAACAATGGAGATGCAATCTAACATCCATAATATCTGATGTTTTACAGACAGCAATGTTTTATGCCTCAAAACTCACATACATAGTTATTTTCTCCTTCCAGCTAAATATCCAATGCTAATGCCACAAAACAGCATAGGCACACTGCTTACAAAATAGTCAAAAAGATTCAAAGATACCAATTAAAGAAGAATATCCCTCTACTGCTTGCAGAAAACCTACAGCCCTTAAGGTACAGATTAGATTATTAAAAGCTTCCTTTAAAAATATGACAGGACCATCACTGTCTTTAAGGACCTGTGGATTGCTAGTGTTACTCAAATATTTATAATAGTAAAATGCAAATTAACATTGAAAAAAGTGTCAAAGTATTTGTAAAAGACTTTGGAACTATGTCCATCTAAATGTACAGGTTCATAATCCGTGACCTATAATTCCAAAACCCATATACTTTGAAAACCGCTATTTCATTTTTAAGTGTGTTGCTAACTTGATTGGTGCAAAACTAGACCTGTACTAACATGAGAGATTTATGGTCTTTATTTTTCCCATGCAATGGGAATATTCATAGAATTCTCTTCAGATACGAAAATGTATACTTATGAGGTGCTTCCCAGAATCCATCTGGAGAAGTGTTCCATAATATACATCATATACATACAAAAAAATCAAGAAAATTCTGAACTCTAAAATACAACTGACCCCAGGGGTTTTGAATAAGAGATTACAGACCAGTATAATTAAAATTCAAAACTTAAAATTTTAGATTTTACTATAATCAAGATATTCAATACAACAGAATTGCTAGAATTTATTTATTATTGTACCTTTAAGAAAAGATTTATCTGCACAATATAGTATGTATGAAAGCATTTCCAGTTTTCTCCTCTTTTCCCCAAATATATTTTGTTCACTCTCCTTTTACAGATAGAGAAATAACTTAAACACTTAAATTATTCTTAGAATCAGTTTGATAATGTTAGGATCCAAACCGACAGAATCAGGCTTGAATAAGATATACAAAGATAATGCAGGAGGGATATATGCATAGTCCTACACATAGAACCAAGGAATCAACTTCCAACAAGAGTTTAGGGAAAATGGGAACACATGCAGCATTCATACAACTCAATTATAAACCTCAGGTGACTACTGTCCCAGGGCATACTGAAAGTATGTTGAACTTGCCCCCATGTATAATGTAATCCTAGGCTTCTTTAATAAAACACTCTATCCAGAAAGAAAAATGATGGCTCATTCTATGCTTGTCACAGAAGATAACGAATAGTGTGAGGGGTCCAGGAGCCAATTTAACACTATTAAGCAACTCATATAATCTTAAAGGAGAGTAAGCATGATAGTGATCTTTCGAAAATCACCTTATGAAGAACAGTTGCAAAGACTGAAATGTCAACCTTGAAAAATATAATAATTGGTGAAGATATGATAGCTGTGTTTTGAAATGAAGCAACTCTTTGTGTATTTAAACAAACCAGTTAGAGTTACTGAAAATACTATTGCATCTTAACACAAGATAAGCTGACTGAAAATGAAAATGACCGGAATAGGGGTTCTTCATATAGGGTTACAGGGTTTCTTGATAGGGATGTGATAAAGGACTCTAGGTGATCCTTTCCATTCTGAGAGTCTTCAATATCTCAACATCACACTTCAAGTTAATAGTACAGCTGGGTTTAGAATTTCATCAATTTTTATTATATAATTTTTAATATTCATGAAAACATATTTGCCACAAGACATAACTTCATGGAGGGAGGTCAACTCTTCAACATTTCTATACTGTCCTTAAAGCAGAGGGCCAATCAAATTCATATTCAAAAGAAAAATATAGTGATTATTACAAATCTTATTCATATTCTATAATATTTCTCATATCTAAAACAAACACAAGTGTTCTGTTCTTTAAGAAAATTGAGTCTCGGGCGCCTGGGTGGCTCAGTTGGTTAAGCGACTGCCTTCGGCTTGGGTCATGATCCTGGAGCCCCGGGATCGAGTCGCATGTCAGGCTCCTTGCTCAGCAGGGAGTCTGCTTCTCCCTCTGACCCTCCCCCCTCTCATGTGCTCTCTCTCTCTCATTCTCTCTCTCTCAAATAAATAAATAAATAATCTTTAAAAAAAGAAAATTGAGTCTCAAAATTAACTTTGTATATAAATAAGTTTGAAATCCTTAAAATGATGTATTTTCCTATAAAATAAGATGCTTGACAAGCATATATTTCAAAAGACCTAACAATTTTAAGTTTGTGAGAATAAGTCTGAACTTTTGCCTCTTCTCTATTTTCCTCAATATTTTTTAAAGAAACTGGTTGAAATGTTTTTTGGGAAGAGAGGATAATACACGGATAATTCCAAGAATTTTTGAGCAGGTGTTAGGCATTTTTAAAGAAAGACAAATAAAATATAAATGGACAGCAGACTTCCAAACTACAATCACTTCCAAAGACAGACCACACAGCTAAAAATGGAAAATACATATTTCCAAATGTCATAATACTGTTTAAAGAGCAAGAAAGAGAAAACTAACTATTCCCACGTTCAGGCAGTTGAATGCTGATCAACAGCTGACAGGCCCATCAAAACATACACATAAAATTTTCAAAAAAAAAAGAGAGACCAGACAGGAACTCAGCCTTCACACTCACCATCACCAAAATACCACAAATTTGAGGTAAGATTTTTATGTGAACTAATAATCTATTTTTATATTTTTCTCACCAAAACATGCATATCATATAATTTAAGGGAAAAGATAATTATAAGAATAGAAATAAAGCAAAGCTTATTTAAGTCTTGTCACTTTTGCAATTGCAATAGGAAGGACAAATACTACCAGGAAGCATACCTGTGGCAGGGCTGAATTGAGCTGTCGCTGGAGCGAATCTCGGTCATAGATGACATCCTGCAGTCTTTGCTGGGCAAGTGAAAGGCTTTCTTGGGTCTCCCGAAGGGTGTCTAGAAGACGGTCCCTTTCATCTAGCATATTCACCATCAGCTGCTCAAAATGGGAGTCTGAGTCCGAGCCACTGCTTTGGGACCCCCTTTGGCTCATTGGGGTGTCCTCATTAATCGTGGGCATCACTTCACACATCATTGCTTAAAGGAAGTAAAGGGGAGGGAAGTCTTAGTAAAGAAACCAACTGACTCTCAACTCACCAAACTCTGCAGCTCATTAACCTAATTGTCTCTTTTTTTCCCCTACCCACTGCCCCAACTCCAACCACACTAAATATTTTGAACTCAATGAAATATGATTCATTGACTTCCTCCAATCTATATCCTTCCTCATTTATTGATAATGTATAAAGCTCCTACCTACAAAATACAGGTTGGTTTCACCTACTTCTCAAAGATTTGGTGTTTTGGGGGGCGCCTAGGTGGCTCAGTCGTTAAGCGTCTGCTTCAGCTCAGGTCATGATCCCAGCATCCTGGGATCGAGCCCCGCATCGGGCTCCCTCCTCAGCGGGAAGCCTGCTTCTCCCTCTCCCACTCCCCCTGCTTGTGTTCCCTCTCTCTCTGTCTCTCTCTCTGTCAAATGAATAAATAAAATCTTAAAAAAAAAAATTGGGTTTTTTTTTTCATGATTTATTCCTCCAACTTAATTTATAGTAGTATGTTATTCAACTTACTAGTTGATCACCTTTCTACCCCTGTAAGTTTACAAATCTCTTACAGCAAATACCACCATCTTACCCTTATTTGTTATATTGTTAAAAGCAAGCACAGTGTCTGGCACTTCATGGGTAGGAAGTAAATGATTTTTGAATGACTTAAACAATTGAATTAATGTTCACTCTTGCATTTAGGGAATCTACAAATAATTAAGTATTCATTTTATATAATAATCAGTTTTTACTTCTTTCAGATTTTATCAACAGGTTTTTTTCATGCCAACTAGTTTAAAGTTTCTTGACTTTACAACTCCCATTTTATCACTTTTATGTGCTAAGTTAAGGTAATCTACACAGAGTAAAGCAATACTGACTAAATTAAATGTAAGCTCTATGAAATAGACTGAGGTTGTTTAGGTTATTATAATTGCCCTTAATATTCTTTTGTTTCCTGTGAACTGCTTTGTCAATTTTCCCTCCAAACAATACAAACTAACACTCTCAAATATTCCCCAAAACAGAGACCGTAAATTACATTAGCTAATGTAGTTACTTCACATTTCAGCTGTTAATCACAAGCTTCCAGTCATGAAACAAATGAACTATTCAGAATATTTTTTAAATCATTTATTAGTTTGACTTATAATAGACAACAGACTTCAAGATGCAACACTGATCTACTGTATGACATTTTAAAAATCAGAAATTATCTCATTTTTTCTTTTATCTTTTATCTGATGTTCAAAAAAGAACCAAACCCATCTCAATTTCAGCTGTTGTACTGAGACCAGAAGCTATTAATTAGAGGGCTTGGTTTTGCAGAAGGTTGATGTGGAGAAATGCTGGTTTGGCTGTTGATCCTAGAGCATTCTTTGGTTTTATAATGCAAGGTCAATTCATTTTTCTGCCTATATATTCCTGTCCCTAGGGAAAATATTTCTGTTGATATAGTCAAATAAAATGTCAAGACTTAATAGCTCAATAGTTAATTACTTTTATGTGATTCTTCAAATAAATTGGGTTACTGAAGAGATAAATTCAATTATCTGAATGATTTGGTCAGGGTTCACTGAAAACTAGGAGAAACTTTTAAAAGATAAAAGGAAAGTATTTTCTTACTGATATCCTGTATAAAAAAAATTACGGGGTAGTATGAATTTTAGGAAAATTTAAGATAATTCTTTGAATTATTGCTCATCACTCAAAACACTGGGCTACCTGAAGGCAAATATTTGACTTGTTAAGTCACTCTAAAATAGGTAACAGGATACGTAAGATGTATTTAAACGCAAATGTGAGTGCACACGCACGCATGCACACACACACACACACACACTTATGCATTGTTACTGTCGCTAACCACTTAATGGATGAAAAGATAGTATTTTTTTGTGTTTTTCTCAGTTTGAATATTATCTAAACATTATCACAAAGCTGGAAAAAAGAGACTCTTTTCTCACTGCTATACATTTTCTTTACATTAATTGAAAAGGAATTGGAAAAAAAAACTGTTCTAACACATTTGAATATTAAAAACAATTAGTTCACATGCCATGCATGAAAATCCACAAACTGAACAGCTGTGTCATTCTGAGAAATCATTACCAGAAGCCAATGTGTTTCTTTTTGACATTTAAGGTTAAAACAAAATACTGGGAGAGGAAATGATTGCACTGTGACAATTTGTGCCAAAACACTTGCAAGGCTTACATTTTAGGGTTACTTAAACATTCCTAAATCTGTATTTTAAACCATCTCCTTCTTGGAAAAAAGCCATTAGCACATCTTCACTTTGAATTACTTATAAAAAAGTTTAAATTCCAAGGAAAAGCATAACTGCAGTGATTACCTCAGCTACAATTTCCTTCTGAATACACGACCCTAATTCTAACAAAGGCTTGTTGCCACCATGAGATATTAGACATTCACAGACTTTAGGCTCTTATATCAGTATAAAAGCTGGTCTCTGAATTAGTCAGTCCAAAGATGCTATGATGAGAATCAGCTTAGGGACTTAAGGTCTTAGTCTATTAATTTTACACTCAACTTGATTCGATTCCATTCCTGCAGCACTGGAACCAGAACAAGTCACATCACCTCTCAAAACTTCAGTTTTCTCTTCTGTAAGTAGGCATAAGAATCCATGATTTTTTTTTTAACAAGCCCATTGTAAGTCTCCAATAGAATACTTGACTGAGATCACACAGTAAAATTTAAAGGACAATTACAAATACAAGTATTTATTTATTTTATAAGGTGGCCAACATTCACCTTTGCAGAAAGAATATTGTGCCTTTACGATTCATTCTGATTCCATGCCTAAAGTTTTAATTCCGGTGGGTACTCTGAACTCTTCAAATCCAACTGGGAAAAATCAAGCTATGCTACAGTTACTTAGGAAATAAAATGAATTCGTCTGCTTTTTCTCCACCAACAGTCAACCCAAATGAGTAAATCTAAAGTCTTCTCATCAAAACTAGGAGAAAAAAAATTTTCTACAAAAAATAAAGGTCACTTTCACGAACTAGCTTTGTTCTTGCAATAGGACTCGGATTCTAATATAAATTACAAAATACTTGTATAATCCTGAAAATACAGTCTAACCTATTTCTTAAATGCATATTTAGATATTAAGATCAATTAAAAATCTATCTTCAATGTTCAACACCCTCTTATAGAATGGACAACATCTGAAGCAACTTCCAGAGGCTATTTACCCTCTAGTGTACTTCATCCTCATATGCCACTTTTAACTTTTACAATCATTTTCAGTATTAAAAATTATATTGTATCACATAATTCCTGAAAAACCAGGAAGGACGTCCTAACAGCTCACTTTGATATTTGCCTTTTCGGCACTCTTCCCCAAAGTCGGTTGGATATATGAATTGTTATCCTTTTCTAAATGTTGATGCCTTTTTCATTAAATTACTGAAGGTTTTAAGACCTAGTTAGAGATACTTACTTTGTTGTGAAAAGAAAAAATAAAATATTGGTTTAATTATCCCGGTGATTAAATTTAGCTTGAAGAATTTGATACCGGGAAAACCAACTCCTTTACTCTTAGTACATAACCTTGACTGTCTTCCAAATCTCTCAGATTTCAAAATAAAAGTTTTGAATGCCCCCTGGAGTCATTGCCCAAGGGCTTTCGAGATCCAGTGTGTTTCTTAGCAATATATGCCTCTCAAGCAGTACCTATTCAGATATGATGGTGTTACAAAAGGCTTTTTTTCTGTCAATGAATCACTTCGAAGCAGATCACCGGGATTTAGACCCTCCTACAGGCAAAGATGCGATTATTCTCGGTAGTTAGTTTCCTCTTCAAAGATGTAGTCTTAAGAACCAACCCAGCTCCACCTCAGTTAACCCACAAGGAGTAATTCAGTGAGAGAAATCCTAGCCATTGTCTGATTACATTACATGAATATTCCTCCTCCTATTCAACTCTTTGAAATCTTCCCTGTCCTCAGGAAATATTATCACCTCTAATAGAAGCATTTTGCACTTTCTTTACCGATGGCCAAGAGCCAGCTCTAGCCACACGGCTGGACAGTTACCGCTCAGCCACACCCCCCCCCACCACCACCCTGAAGTTGACTTAATAATTTCCACACTAAAATTCTTTATCTCTCGCCCAACAAGAGAGAGCCAAGTGGGAGGAGGTGGAGAAATAGGAGAAGGGAGAGGATGGGGGCGGAAAGCAAAAGGTATGGAACAGTAATTGGCAAGGAGGAATTTGCATCTCATCTTCCCTGGGGGCGGGGTGGGGCCGGGGCGGTAGGGGGTGGTAAAAAAATAAAGCGGACGGGAAACCTTGTAACTCAAACACAGTTTCTGTACCTAATGTCTGTAATTTCGGGTCCTGCTTCTTCAGGAGATCAGTGACAACCGCAGTCTCAGGCTTGGCGAGAGGCGAAGCTCACGCCCGGCACTCCTGGACCATTTCCCTAGCAACCGGAGGAGAAAGGCAGCTTAGACCCTCGCGTGCCCCGGCGCCCTCCCGGAACGTGCCCCGGCTGGGTGGCGTGGCAGCAAGCCGGCATCTTCCCGCGGCTCCGTCAGCAGCCCAGAGGAGAAGCGTCCATCGGGAAAATGGCATATTACAAATTTTGCTTTGGGAAGCGGAGCTCGGTTCAGACCATTGTCAAAGGGAGGAGAGGGGGAGGCGGCTCTTAAAGCAGTAGCGGCCCCTTTGCCGGAGCAGCCTCGACTCCGCGCGGGCAGCTGGAGAGCCGGGGCGGGGGGCCGGGAGCCGGGGACTGGGTTTGACTTATAGAAACTTAACCAAGCCACACTGCTCCCCCTCCGCGTCCGGGCCGCCCGGAAGGTGTCCCCCCAAACGTGAGCTTTGGGGAAAGGCGTGAGGAGTGCCTGGAAGCGAGGTTCTCCACCCAGTCCCCCTCCCGGAGCCCCTCGGGAGTTTCAGGCGAACGTCGCGAGTTGGAAAGCTAAGGGAAAGCGAGTCCCCAGGTTGCGGGGAGCACGGCGGGTGCTCTCCTGGCCCCGGACTGTGTCTGCGCTAGGGTGTCTCACTGAACTCAAAAGAGGCGCCTCTTCTCCGGAGAGGCAAGCGGTCGGCCCCCCACACCCAGTTTCTCCTCCCAGCCTCTTTGCAAGCCGCGTTGCTTGCATCAGCCGGCCGGAGGAACCAACCTGCTGGGAGCCGGAGCGGCTGCTACAGCATCTTCTCTCCTCACTTGCCTCGTGCCGTGGCCGCTGGGCTCCTCCTCCTCGGTCTCTGCCCCCTCCTCTCCTTGACAGCCGCCACCTCCTCTTCCTCTGGAACAAGGGCTTCCCCTGGAAGCTGCTGCAGTGGTTTCCACCGGCCCTTAAATAAATTCTGAAGTAATCACGTCTTTGCTCTCCTCCTCACGCACACGCGCTCGCGGATACACACGACTGCCTCAAAGCCGCTCCCGGGCTGCCGGCGCTGGCGCCGCTCCCAGTGCCCCCGGAGAAGCCGAGGGCTGCGGATGGGCAGGTGTGGGCAGCGGATACGCTCTTCCTCGTCCGGGCTTCCCCCGCACAATGGTCTGTACGGGGAAGCGTGTGACGGCCCACGCTGGGGAAAGGCGAATGAATGCGCCTGGGCACCTTCTGGCTCTCTGGCCTTCCGTGCTTGTCATTTCTTTGAGCAGCTTCCTGCTCCCAGGACCGGGGCATGGAAGTCACGGCGGACCTGAGTCAAGCTAGGGTGTGGTGGCATCTGTCACTTCTCACTACCTCTCCAGCTCCTCTCCATTCACTGCTTTGGCGATAAGGAGCGTGTGTTTAGCACTCCCTGCCCTAGTAAATTTCGGCTTTGGGCGAAGTCTGGTTTCTAGAACGCGTTCCAGTTCCCCCTATACCTACACATCCCTTTACCTATTCTTTCCTTTTGCCGCTACTCTCCATTGATACAAACCCATCCAACCAGGTATAGGGAGAAAGCAGGAGACAAAACCAGTACCTAAACAAAAAGGAAATGTTTCAGTGAGGGAAATTAGCATATCCTAGTTTTAGCGAACAGGAAGAGGGCATGGAGGAGGGAACTGGGAGAAGGGTTAAACATTGGGTTTAATACGGGGGTTAATGCAAGTATCTTGGAGAGGTAGTGCAAGAAATCCAAAAGGTGTATTTCATTTTTGGTTAACACAAAGAGTCCAAAGCTAACTAAAGAAGTAGTATTCAAATGCCAGCTCACTTAAATTAAGTACAATATTCAGGAAACAGGATCTTTTCTTCTAGAGTAGCATTTACTTCAATTAGCAACCCCACAGTGGAATGTGAGGCCATGCTCATGTATTTCCTCCTTCTCTTCTAGACTGTTATTCAAATTCTGCATCACAACACAATCCTATAAGAATTAAGTATAAGAACAATTAGATGATTCATTAGATGTCTACTGGAGCACTAGTTCTCAAACATAGGGTGCATACAGATCGCCAATGGATCTTGTTAAATTGTAGATTCTGATTCACTAGAACTGGGGTAAACCATGAGATTTTGTACCTCTAACAACTCCCAGATAGGACCACAATTTGAGTAGGGTCTAAACCACTCTATCAACCTACCATTTGATGTGGCTTAACTACTCTTAACTACTGAAAACTCATTAACTCAAGAGATAGCCCAGTCCATTTTCAGATAGAAATAATTTAATAATAGCTTTTACATATTAATCAGAATCAGTCCTCTTTTAACTATCACTCCCTGGAATTGCCCAGAAAACATAAAATGTCCTTTATACATGAGAAAACTTCCTATGTTTAAAGACAGTTAATATGTCTCTCTGTAGAAGAACTCCTTCCTTACTAAACCTTGGTTCTAATTTCCTTAGTAATCAACATTTGCCAAGTACAGCTTCAGATGTTGTTACCATTTCCAAGAAGAGTGTTAAGTTGCCTGACTCCCATTCATACATCAAATAAAAGTTTTAATTCTAAGTATAATCCCCACATGTGGCTGACACACAGTTAAAGGATACTTGGTAGTTGATATCACAGAAAGGAAGATTTTGATAATGGAAGGCAGGAAATAGTCATGAGTAAAAATATTTTAGTAAGAAGAGATAGTCTTCATGGTTACTTTCAGCTTAGAAACTATACATTCTCCTTTTCTCACCACTAACATCACTACAAGAAAATAACATATTCTATCAAAACTGAGGGACTTTTTTTTTAAGATTTTATTTATTCATTTGACAGAGAGAGCAAAAGAGGGAACACAAGCAGGGGTGAGTGGGAGAGGGAGAAGCAGGCCTCCCGCTGAGCAGGGAGCCCCATGAGGGACTTGATCCCAGGACTCTGGGATCATAACCAGAGCCGAAGGCAGACGCTCAACGACTGAGCCACCCAGGTGCCCCTGAGGGACATTTTTAAGCAGCAATTTTGCAGAAGGCATTACATCAACTAATTCACATGAGTAAAGAGGACTCACCCCCTACACCAGTTCTTCTAGCTTAACAGTCCTCAAATTTAACATGTAAGAGAATCTCCAGAAGGTTTGTTACAACACAGATTTCTGAAATCCACCCAAGAGTTTCAGATTCAGTAGGTCTGTGGTGTTACCAGAGAAATTCCATTTCTAATAAGTTCCCACGAAATGGCATACTGCTAGATCAGGAATCCACTTTGAGAACGATTGCTTAAATAAATCCAAAGAAATTTGGGAAACAGAGTACGTACAGATCCAGAAAAACAACTAATGTTATTCATTCAAGGCAAAAAGTCTCTCAAACAAATATAAAACCAATTAATATGCTAAGTTATCCTCTGTTCCTACTGGTTTTTAATAGCCAAGGACTAATGATTAAGATGAGATATGCTTTCCTCCTAATCAAATAGGTTTAGGATGAGGTAGTGAAAATTACCTCTTTCATTAGTCTTAGTGCCTTATATCAATGAAAGAATTTAGTCCGTAGAGGTATACACTCTTCTAACCACACTTACTAACGCTCCTTCTGCACATTTTATTTCAAATATTATCTTTTACCTATATACTGTCTTAAGTGCAGGGTGTCATACAACTATTCTTTAGTAATAATAAAAAGTGCTTGTTTTGGGGCGCCTGGGTGGCTCAGTCGTTGGGCGTCTGCCTTCGGCTCAGGTCATGATCCCAGGGTCCTGGGATCGAGTCCCACATCGGGCTCCCTGCTCCATGGGAAGCCTGCTTCTCCCTCTCCCGCTCCCCCTGCTTGTGTTCCCTCTCTCGCTGCGTCTCTCTCCGTCAAATAAATAAAATCTTAAAAAAAAAAAAAGTGCTTGTTTTATTAAAATCAAGGATGGTTTTGTTTGTAAAGATTAAGTTACTGAGATCTAGCACAAAAGAAGCATGGGCCATGACAACAACAAAGATTTAGTAAGTGACAGTAATTTGTCTTTTAAGTGCAAGGATAATATGGATGCAAAAAGAAAACAAACAATATTAGTTTCGATAGATTTTTTGATCTCAGTATCACCTCATTTCAACTATATGGTTACTCATTATGAAAATATTTTGCCTATATTCACAATAGTTTTACATTGTTAAAACAATTAAATGACATTTTCTGCACTTATGGTTACTGTTGAATTTAAATTTCAAGATGGATTTGGATAGAAAATAGAAGTATCTCCCATCACATACTTCATCTATAGTTTTGTGCAAATGTGAATCTTATTTTATTTCATTAAAGAAGAAGGCCACTCAATACCATTACATTGTATTACTTAGAATAAGCAACAAAACAACCCCAAATACATAATGACTCAAACAAAATTGAAGTTTATGTTTCACTTTCTCAATATTCCAGAGTGAGAATCGATCAGTGGTCTACTTTCTTTCACACAGTAATTTAAGCACCTTTCTTATCTGGGCCCTGCTATCTCCTTAGGTTTTCTATCCAGACAGCAAAAGGAAAAAGGGTGGAGCAACCATACCCACTTCAAAAATCCTTGGTCCAGAGGTAACACATACTTTTTTTAAATTCCACTGCTGAGAACAACTCACATGGCAATATCCAATTACAAGAGAAGCTGGAAAAGTAGTCTAGCCTTCAGGCTGGAAGAAGAATAAAGAGGCTTTTGGTAAAAACCTACCAGTTTCTCCCACATATTGTTTGTGAAAGTGATAATGGAAATAAAAGGTATGTAGAAAATATGCTATGTTTAAGTTTTCTGTTATGCATACTTTAAAAAATAGATGGAATGCAATTAATTGAAATCAATTGTCGGGGTGCCTGGGTGGTCAGTCGTTAAGCATCTGCCTTTGGCTCAGGTCATGATCCCAGGGTCCTGGGCTCGAGCCTCATATCGGGCTCCCTGCTCCGCGGGAAGCCTGCTTCTCCCTCTCCCACTCCCCCTGCTTGTGTTCCCTCTCTCGCTGTGTCTCTCTCTGTCAAAAAATAAATAAAAAATCTTAAAAAAAAAAAAATCTGTTGTCATAAAATTAACATCCAATTCAATCACAAATAGTAAGTATTTTTTATTATGTAGGTCTCATGTTTCTTGTTATGTTAATACTACA